TTTAGGATGTAGGGTTTAGGCCTAAAACCCAGAACACTCATCGGGTGCCCCTGTTATTATTCAGGCCTTTGAAGGCAAACTCCAGCAGGAGCTCTCCGAACGATGCGAGCGTCAAGTGTTGAGGAAGCGGGCCCAGGTTCTCGCTTTTTACCACTTGCCAGTGCACATGGCGGTGGCGAGGACCGATACCGAGAAGGTGTTCGGCCCGTCTGATGCTCAGCTCCGCAAAGATCTCCGCAAGTTGGCCATGGCCAGAAAGCGGAAGAAGACGAGGTAGAAGCCAGAAGCTTGGTCTGTGATTCAATCAGGTTAATCATGTACCTAGACCCTCCAACTACCCTCTATTTAGGCCTAAGTACCCATTACTAGGGGCTATATAACCCCAATTAAGGGAACTAGGAAGGTCCTGGTACATTGTTAATTCTGACTACTTGGACCAGCAGCGGGACTTAGTGGGTAGGTCAGAGTTTTCAGTTTTGTGGTTTTGGTGGGCGGGTCAGGGGGACACAGAAAGTAGGTGAACAACATGGATGCTTGGGATCTATCATATGTCCTACAGGGGCTGTAGTTGTATTTGCTAAGTCGCCCTGACCCTCCAAGTGCCAGTACTAACTAGCTAATTGAAATAATGATGAACATCACTAGCACGATCATGGACCCTAAGCCCTACACCGTAGGCTCTGTAGATGCCAAGGATCCTCGAATTAGATCCTACTTCTCGAGACTTAGTTGTGTTTTAAATCTGCTTGGGTGTTACTCAGGCTGTAGAATGATCCTGAGAGGACAGTCTCCAAATTTGGGCCTCCATTTTCTCCTATTGGGCTCAGTATTGCAGCCAGATTGCCCTAAACCCCAAACCGGAAGCCTGGGCATAAGAATTTGGATGGTTCTTGTGTCATTTTCCTGGCGCGGAGCAGATGAATTTCTGAGAGTTCCGCTGCTTGTTGAAGTGCTCATGTTAAGGGTCGCATGATGGAGCAAAGTCAGCAGAAACCTGAACGGCGACCACAAGCGCCCCAATGTATTGGTGCTGTACACACTACTACTAGATGGGAATGATTGAATGGAACAACAGGTCTGCTAGCAGCTTTCTTGCATGCTCACTTGTACAGTTTGTGTTTAGGGGTTTGAGGTTTAGGGTTTCCCAACCTGCTTTCAGCATATTAAGGGTACCTCCAAAATTGTACCCTTAACTGTGGGGAAACTCCCATGTCCCTAAACCCCAAGCCCTAAACCCTAAGCCCTACGACCCTAAGAGCAGGGACTCCCGGCCACTCGGTCTAGGATTTGGGGTGTTTGAGACTGGGGACTTTACTGGGGAGTTTCTCCAGGTGACCCCTACTTGGAGGGTCAGGGGGACTTAGTAAGTCGGTTAATAACCCCAATAACCAGATAGTAACCCTAATGAACCCCCTTATTAACCTACTTGATAAGACCCCTTGACCTTTTAAGTAGGCTATAGCTTCCCAAAAGGTACGTGCCCGAACCCTGTACCCCAGAACAAGCCTAGCCCCCCAATGCATAAAGTTTCAATCATCCTCAGACCCTAAATCTAAGGTTTAGGTTTAGGGTTTAGGGTTTAGGTTAGAGAAGGATGCGCCTCTGAGATGAGCCCTTAGGCCTTTCAGGGGGATACTAGGCACACTTAAGGGCACATAGAACGTATGTAGTCTGTATATAAGGATCCCAGGGTTGAAGGCCCATACTAGGGGCCCATGGTTTGAACCTTAGACTAAAGCAGTAACCCTAAACCCTGAACCCTAAATAGTAGTTTCCATTGTACTTTCCGTTATCCCCATGTAACACCAATATGACCCTAATAAAACCCTATATAATATAGCAGTTTCCATGTTCTATCCCTATATAACCCCAGTATATACTTATATAAACCCCAAATAACCCCTAGACCCTAAACATTAGCCCTCATACCCCAAGCGCTAAGCCCCCCACTTAGCATCCCTTCTCTCGGCAGGTTTCGTGCTACAGCACTGACCTCAGCAACTGTGTTGTAGGTACGTTAAGGGTTTAGGGTTTAGGGGTCTAAGCTATAATTCTAGGTAGGCAAAGTCCCCAGCTATGATTTGGTGATAGCCTAAAGTTTCTTATGATTACTATGAAATGATAGCACTAGTGTTACGAGATATACCTACCTTGCAACTACTTGGGGCTCCTAAAGACTTTTGCGGAGAGACGGGATCCTGATTTCGAGACAGTCTACAAAGCTCTGTACCCTAAACCCTAAACCCTAAACCCCTAAACCCTTAAAGTACAAATCAGGATCCTCAAGCCTCAAGCTCCTAAACCCTAGACCCTCCAAACCATCATCCCCATCACCTTACCTGAGCTATAGTCCTGAAGGGGGATGATGAAGAGGGATGATGTCGGGTTTAGGGTTCAGGGTTTGGGGTCTAAACTCCTGAAACGGGGGTTATGTAGGGAATTATTTTGGGGACACTTATAAGGGTTATTAAGGGGGATACTAGGAGTCAAGACTATAGCTCACCTGGTTACTTAACCTCCCTAAACCTTGATCATCATATTCTTAATAGTTACTTCAGCAGCCCCTACTTTTAGGGGTGCGTGTGACTTATGCTTTCTTTGTGACAGTGGCTGTAGCCCGGTTGTGACCCTACCTAGGCGGACCCTACCTAGGCGAACTTGAGGAACTTCTACTTTAATGGGTTTAGGGTTATCAGTGTTTAGGGTCTAGGATGTGACAGGGCCTCTTAATGGTAGGTTACAGCCTGGAACCTGAACCCTAAAACCCTCAATCCCATCAGTATCCCCAGCAAACCAAGGAGTTCGAAGAGGTAGTCGCCGGGGAGGAGGTCACTCGGATTGGCCTGCAGGTCACTCAGATTCCCCCTACTATAGGGTTTAGGGTTTAGGGGATTCAGGGTTTAGGGTAGGGGCATAAATAGTTGATCACGAGCATTATGGTTCTAGATTCCTTGTATGGATACAGTATAGGGTACCTCAAGCAGGCCTCAAAACGGTACTGCTAAGTAATAGGGCTTCTACATTATCTTTGCAAAAGAGTGCTGTTTTCCCAAACCATGGTTTCTTTGCTGGGGTCCTGCTAGTGAAGATGCCAAACTGTAGGTGATATGCCAGAGGACTAGGCGGGCTCCACGACTCTTCTGTATCTGATATCTTATCAGCTGGCATGGTTCAGCACATCAGGCTCGAGTGTTACCTTTACAATTGACAGTCTGCATAACAATGGATCCTGGTTCCTAAAGTTGCAGCCACAATCCTTCAAGCCGGTTTTACACCGGCCCTATATCATGTTCTCATAGCATGCATGACATGTGAGCTTCTAAAAGTTGAAACCTCTTCTTGGGATACATGACCTGCAGCTATTTCGCCATGGGTGCTAGCATACTGCCGCACTCTTGTCAGCATTGAATGTGTCACTAAACCCTAAAGCAGAAACCCCTTGAACCCTACACCCCTTACGCCCTAAACCCCTGGAACCCTAAACCCTCCACCCTGAACCCTAACCTTAAACTCTATCCCATAACTGGTAGCATTTTTTTTGTTTGCTAAAGTCACTCGCATCTTGGCCCTTCCGCTCCGGTTGTGTGGGTTGTTGTTTGCTAGGGATTAGTAGGAAATTAGGGAATTTACTATTTTGGGGTTATAGGGATTATAGGGAAATATATCTTCAGTTCAGCAACTGTCAGTTTTCTATCTTTTTTTGCTGAAACTGTTCAGATCCTTCCCCACTTTCCCTTACCCTGCAGCATTCAGACACGCATTTTGCCGGGTTTATTCCGATCTTCCTTCTTGCCCCAGCGGTTCGCACTCTTGTGATTAGTTGGCATCTTGCAGCATCGAGGCCTGGATTTTGCTTCGTTTTTTGAGATCTTCGTCCTTCCTCCTGTGTGGGCAGGTGTCTTCCTCCCATCCTCCGTGCCAGGCTATGACAGAGTGATCTGAGCTATAGTCTACTTGGAGGGTCAGGGGGACTTAGTAATCAGGTTAATAAGGGGGATAATAAGGTTACTACACGGGTTAGTGGGGTTATTAACCTACTTACTAAGTCCCCCTGACGCTTCAAGTAAACTCCCTGTATCCCTCGTTATACCCCTTAAGGAGTTGAGACGATTGTTCAGATTATGAAAGGTTGCTGTAGCTCCCAGTGAAAGCAGCGCTGATCTGAAGTAGCAGTCTGCTGTTGGTAGCCCCAACCCCTTAATATTAAATATTCATAATTACATTACAGTATGCCACAAGAGGAACATTTACGTAATAATGGGGGTGGGTAAATTTAGTTTCAGCCCCAGCCCCTACGGTGGTGTGGGTGGCTTGGATGATGGGGACCTACACCGTTGTGACACGTTTGATGACAGCAAGCATGGATCGAAAGCAGGGAGGATCACGACCCCAAACCCAGATCCCGTGACCGTTGGCACTTTTGAGAGGTCTTGGCTTGGGTCAGAGGACAGGGGGTGCAGGCGGATAGGGCCTGACCCACCGGGTTCACATACATGGGGACTGAAGGGTGCTATGGGATTTTGCTAAGGGCCTAGGCTACAGCTCCTTTCGAAAGTTATTATTGTTCATGGAGGAAATCTTGCAGCGCCTAGGACCCACAGACTACTGCAGCTTCGACCCTAGACCCTAAACTCTAGACCCTAAGCCTTAAGCTTTAGACCCCAAACCGTAAACCCTAAACCCCAGACTGAGCGGGGTGCAGGATCTTCAAGGAAAGGGGGCTCAGGGGTCGACCGAGAAAATCCAAGACCCCAAACTTGGTTGGTGTTAAGGAATCGGAACAAAGTTGATTATTTAATGATTTGGGTTTATAGGGTTTGGGGCTTGGGGTTTAGGGATTAGGTTGCCATAATATTGGTACATAATAAGGAATAGAGTTTCTTTGCTATGGTAACTTAAGTTAAGTTACTACGACAGCAGGCCCCAAACTTCGCCGCAAACATTTCAAGGACCGCCTAAGCCCTGGAATACATGAGCTATAGTTTAAACTCCTTAAAGAGGGATATATAGGGGATTATATAGGGGGTATTATAGGGCTTATTAAGGGGGATACTAGGAGTTTAGACTATGGATCACATGCATTTTTACTTCAGGGTTTAGGTTCGAGGGTTTGAGTTTTGTTTAGTTTTTTTTAAGTTTAGGGCCTAAGCCCCGGTCCTTGAATTTCATCTCGCCTGTGGCACTTTCACATTCGGCCACCAAAGCCTTACATCAGCAAGAGGTTTTGTTCGCTGCCCCAGAATTGTGTTGAGCCCTAAATCCTGCTGTTGACTAGAATTCTTGGTTCAGGATAGAAGTTTGACACATGCCCAACAAGGTTCGCCTTCCTCTACACCAAAAGCGTTGACATCCATACCTTGAAAGCAGTAAATACTAAACCCTAGCGTCCTACACACGTCCTAACCACGCAGCCCTCTGCAAGTCATAGTCGCTACCTAAACCCCAAAAGTATGTACAATAATAGCCCTAAACACATAATAATAGCCATAAAGGCCATTATTTTACATACTTTTGGGGTTTAGGTAGGCCTTGAAGCCTAGCCCCAACACCTCAATTCGCATTCTTGTATCTTTCCTAAACTCCAAGGTATTAGCGCTCATATGAGCTTTAGTCTTAACTCCTAGTATCCCCCTTAATAGGAAACTCCTATAGGGGTTAATAACCCCTATAGGAGTTCCCTATATAATCCCCTAGAAAAACCGCATGCAAGGAGTTTAGACTATGCTACATCTTGTATGTATTCCGCCTTTGCAATCCTCCTAGCCAGGCTAGAGGCCCATATTTGGGCCATACTTCCAACCGTGGATCCTCAGGTCCTTCAAGAACCTTGCTCCCGAGCCCGTGGTCGTCAACAAGGCTGGGTAGGAACACCCAAGTGAGAACCAGCTAAACCCTAAACCTCAAACCCTAAACCCTATGGATAGTATCCCAGAGGCCCTGCATCCTAAAACCTGAAGTGTGTGGTTTGATCATATATCTGCATGGCAGCGTGTATCCCGGCTCCACCCTTGACGCACATGCTGGACGTTCATGAATGTAATTTGCATAGTGGAGAATCAAGTTGATATTAACATGGGAAATCAACTCGACACTGGGCTTATAGAAGGGTGCATACAGATACTATGCAGGGGCCGAAGTAGTTAGAATATGGTTATGGGGGTATACCATACCACACGTTTGAGGGCTATGAGGGGATAAGATTGCAGTGTGCGTCCTTCAGACTTGTACAGAAGAGGATTGAGGCTTTAGAAGGTCACTTGATGGATCCTGCGTATTTCTAAGTGGGGTTACAAGCCCCCAAAACTAATTGTTCAGCATCGATAATTTAATACAAGTCCACTTCGTGCACAAGCTTTCAAAAAGGGTTCCTTGGGTTCAGGGTTTGCTGGAAGCGCCGGAGCCTTTTCAGGCCCTAGTAAGAACAGTTAGTGCCCATATAGTAATCAAACGGAAACATGGAAGATGAAACGGAAACTGGGCTTATAAGTGGGTTTCATACGAATTCGGTGAGGTGTCAAGAGGACTGGTAACCACAACTTCAACCCCCCAAGGCGTTGGTCCCATTTTGGTTCTTTCTTGGGTCCCCAGTGAAATTAATGTGGCCTCTCATGTTGAGAGCACCGAATAAATATCATAAATTTGACAACCCGCCCGAGAACACTATATCCTACAGGGTATTAATTTTGGCGGTGTGCGGTCAGCAAAAGCTTTTTTCCGCCCTAAATCCCAGACCCGGAAATCTTTGCAGGCAACCCTAAACCGTAAACCCTAAACCCGAAGCCCTAAACCCTAAACCGCATTTTTATAACTCAGGCCTTCGGGTGTCTACCTAGGACTCCTAGGCGGTTAATTTCAAGGGCCACAAAGGCGCCAAAAGTAGTTTAAAAAATAGCCCAAAACCCCTAGATATAGCCCAAAAGGCCATTATTTTACACACTTTTGTAGGGTTCAGGGCGTTTACTAAACCCTAAACCCTAAACCCTACCCAAGCCTCCTTCTCGGCCTGTTCCTGAATGCGGAAGGTAGACAGGATGGGCATACGCAGGTCCTGCAGTGGCCCATCTCAGAGACTCCCTGAGCTGCAGTCCGTAATAAGAATAATAGTTAGGAGTGATAGTGATGATGATAATAATAATAGTAGTACTGGTGATACTGGTCCCCCCCCCACCAGTGATACCAGTATTCATAATGCTAATACTAGGAATAGTAAAAGTAGTAGTAGTAGTAGCAGCAGTAGTAGTAGTAGACGAAGAATAGAAGAAAAAGAAGAACAGTAACAGTATCGAGCACCAAAAACGCGGATTCCAAAAGGTCGGATTCGAGCACCGGGACCATCCCAGGATTCGCGTACTGCCCCATCGGATTCGCGAACTGGCACGGGCATCGTTTCGTGCACTAAAGATTGGGTACTCCCCCCCCTCACTAACAGTTGGATAATAATTACAATATGGTTATATTCCCTTAATAGGACCCCTAATATACTCTGTTACTGGGTGGGGGCAGTACCCAAACTAAAGACAAGGTCGCGCACCAAACGGACAGATTCGCGCACCAAAGCTACAGGACTCAGCCACGATTGTCAGGTTGTGGCTGTAATAGAAAACCGCACAGGAACATCCAAAACCCTACGCCGTAAAGACTCCCAAACTCTCAACCGAATCCTAAACACCCAAACCCTGAAGCACTCCCAACCCCTGAACGGCAACACCCCCAAACCCTGAAAAAAAAATACCTAGACCGTGAACACCCCAGACTCTAAACCCAAAACCCTAAACACCTAAACCCCTAAACCCTCCCAAACCTGAAGCCCTAAACCCCATACCCAGAACAACACCCTGAACACTGTGAAAGCGTAAGCTCGAAACAATACACCAGTAAACCCTAAACCCCATACTCCCACCAGCGAAAACCTAAGGCATGAACAGGAAACCTCAAACCCTGAACACCCCTGACCTTAAAAACCTAAACAATCCGAAACCGTAAGCCCTAAACCCCTACCCTGATCCGTAAAACCTTCAACCCAAAGCCCTAGACTCTAAACTCCAAGGCCCACACCTTGACTCCAAAGCCCTAAGCCCTACAACCCCACCAACGAGGGAACCCTGAGCCCTGAACACCCGCAAGCCCCAGACCCTGAACACCACAAACCCTAGACCCCAAACACCCCCAAACCCTAAGCCCCGAGCCCTTCAAACGTCCCCAATCCTACACCCTAAACACTGCCAAACCCTACGCCCTCAACCTTGAACCCTAAACCCTGAATTAATAAACCCACATTCGAGACTCTCCAAATCTAAGGAGCCTCCCAAACCCTAAGCCCGAAACCCCACAAAGGTCCCCAACCCTAAACCCTAAACACCGCCAAACCCCAAGCCCTAAACCTTGAACCGTAAACCCAGACTCTAGACACTCCAGACCCTAGGCCCTAAAGCCTCAAGACCATTAAACGTAAAGCCAAAGCCCTAAACCCTAAATCCGAATACCCATTTCGAAAATGACTGGGCTTTGGAAGTGCTGGAGTTGTTGTGGCTTGGTGCAAGAGGCGGACCTGGGGTTTTAAGGGTTTTGGGGTTTAGGGTTTAGGGTTGCTCGAATGGGCGCCTTTTGGTGCTTTGAATCGGCTCGCTTTGGTACTGGAATCGGACTTGTGCGGTGCATGAATCGCTGGTGCGTGAATCGGGTAGTTCCTGAATCGGCAGTGCTTTAATCAGTGGTGCCCGAATCGGTAGTGTTTGAATTGTAGCGCTTGAATCGGGCTTGCTGGCACATCATCACATCAACGCAACGTCCAAACCCCGTCCTCGCCCAGTTCAATGTAATCATCGCACTCCAGCTGTTCCTCACGAGCATAGTATGGCATAGGCCCGCATGCAAGTAACCAATTCCAATTGGATGTGATAGACTTGCTGGACGGTGCTGACAAGCTGCCATGGGATCAATCGGATAAAGTTCCGAGCCCTCGTACTTCGCCTGAGACGACTGTGTGAAACATCTGCTCCAAAAGGCTACACGAGATGGCCTTACAATTATCATACTGCGATGCTAGCTCAGCAATCTTATGCCGCAAGTCCGAGCATGTCTGAGCCCAGCACAATGCGGCCGACATATCGCAGAATAGCCCGACTTTGTGCGTAGGCCTTGCCGTCCTGAGAAGGGCGACATTCGAGAAGTGCGAAAGACGGGTGAAGTGACGGAAGGGAACCTGTGGATCCTCTCAAGTTACTGGGCTCAGTAGGGAATGAGGGAATA